CCCCAAAACCCCAAAACCCCAAAACCCCAAAACCCCAAAACCCCAATGTGATAATTTAAAATTTAATTTCGAGTCAAGTATGAGTTTCCACTCACCAGCTATAGATCAGATTTTTATGAAGAAAAATATCAAAAATATCAACTTTATTCGAAAATCAGAAATCAGTAAGTCCCAAGCTGATAGTTGGAAATAGTGCTGGAAACAGTCAGGAATTTAAGGACCAAAATTGATAGTGGTCAGGTCTCTCATAAGAAGTTAGGCTAACTTTTGAGTTTTAGGAAGCAGTTACATACATTTTGTATGTCAAAGGTCTCACCACGGCCTCGGACGGTGCTACAAAGTGTGAAGAGTTCCATATTTAAGCTAATTAGCCAACTGACAAGTATATTTGCATGTCAATTTTTAGAGTTAAGTAAATAAAATCAGCCAAATGGATGTAGACAATATTCAAATACTACATTCTGCTCTGAAGGAGGCACAGAATAGTCTCCGTTGAGCATTGGGCTCGGGTGAGAAACAAATCCCAACAAGCTGTATTAAGCTGGACCAGAAGCAGACTCGGAAATGATTAAACAAGAGCGAGCCTGAGATCAATAATGTTTGGAAGCATCAGAGTCCGAATTTGAAACTTCTTACTGATAGTGACAAGAAGGTCAACAATACAACACTAAGTCGGGCTTATAAGGATCTTAATTTCTCAAGTTTTCATAATAATCGTGGGAAAATTGAAAGCTTGGCCTCTCGAAACCTCAGGAAGCACTCTAAGAATGAGAAACACAAAGGCAGCTGTATGAAGTCCCTCACTAGACTGAATATTTGTCAGAATAAGAGGTACAAAACTGAGTTTACCAGCGTGAATACCCCAAAAGTAAACAACAGAAGAGTCCCTGTAACAGAAAAGTTATTTAATTTGTCTTCATTTAAAGACAAAATAAGCAAGTTTAGTACAACTAGCCCCCTGATTTCCGAGAAAAAGAAGCCTGAAAGTATCAAATGTAGTGAGAAGAAGCGGTATTTACCCAAGGATTATTATTTAGATTGCTTCCTAAGTCATTAATAACTAAAAAGGCTCCTTTAATGCAGAGGGCAAAGAGCGGTATCGACTTTCAACCAAGTTTAGAGACAACTTTACAGAATGCGATACAATTTACAGACGTGTCCACCAAATCTATGTGCCAAAAGAGACATCCATATACTCGTTGAGAGTGCACCACAAAGGTATTCGCCTCTGTGATAATTAATAGGGTCCAAAACCATGAGGGGTTTATTGCTGATATCTCTCTTCAGAGTTTCAGAAGAAAATCCTCTTTGAAAAACTCCGAATCCTTGACCTGGAAGAAGGTAATCTCAGATGTCTTAATAACATCTAGACTCTCTTCGAGAAAATTCTAAGTACGCTATATGTATCAAATGGTGGTATAAATGGTGCGATTTTGTTAATATTTCCGTTGACGCTTTGCAAAAATTCAATACTTTGCCAGATACAGAGGAGTTTGATTCCCAAGGATCCATCCTCCAATCTTTGCTTCATGAATCGAGTGAATCTGAAGAGATTTACTCTTATGAGGGTCATAAATTGTCATTGATCGAGGAAGAAGAAACGTATGACAAACCGAGGTATGAAAATTGGTTCAATTTTATAGTATTATCAACAACAGGTCTCTTCTCAGCCCAGATCCAGATGATGATAGTCGGTTGAAGTCCTACTCCACTGAGAACTACGACTATGTCCTAGTGACTGCGTACCAATGGAACTTCTTGAAAAAGTGGTTCCTGTGCGATTTTGAGATTGAAATTAGCCGTGGGTTTTCATAGTTACTCGATAAAATCTACACAAATTTCTCAAAAATAGCCTTTTATAATGGGGTTTTGGGGTTTTGGGGTTTTGGGGTTTTGGGG